GTGGAAAACACTCTCAATCATCTTGGCTGAAAGTGTTTTGAAGGATTTTGAAAACTACCTGGTTTTCTAGAGAGCACATAAACTGGTGAAATACCTAAAATCATGGTTCATACCAGTCATTCAGATTATCACATTTTAGCACTCGAATCATTCACAAATAATGTTACCTCTTTGAGATAGCTCCCAGGTTAGGCTTCTGCGTGGCAAACCCGAACCCCATCGGGTCTGTCCCTCGAGACGGAACGAACGGGATCGGAACGGTAAAGGAATTTCAGGAATCGGGCCCACGGCATCATTATAAGTTGCAGAAAAATGTTATTTCGTAAGTTTTTTCGTTTGATTGTAGGTACACTACAACTTTAAATGTTTAATTCTTGCAATACGATCAGGTAGATAAGTTTAATACCAGTAGGCGAATTAAGTAATTGCATGTTAATTGCAGTTTTTGTTTTAGAAAACTTGATATTTCGACTATTCACGGTCATTCTCAAAGTTGATAATGTACAGACAAGAGGTGACTTAGAACGGTACTGAAGGATCTGTACCATTTAGTTTTGGTGCTTTTGCTCGTATCAAGGGTGATTCTTTTATTAACAACTTGTATTGGTGTTATTCGCTAGTGAGAATTTCAAAGTCATTTGGTGTAATCAAATGTTCAGTCGCGTAATCACGTCTACCAATGGCCGACTTTGCCACTACCATTTGTTTTGGATTATCGGTTTTCAGTGTTTGGGTGGCCAGTAACTCATCAAGCTCATCATCATTTAACTTTCTCATCGCAGGGGAAGCTTACCTGTTCCTTGAACGTGTGAAAATTCTAAAATGTAAAGATCCGAATTTTTTGTGTGTAAATTTTCAGGTTTGACAATGACCGTTAATAGTCAAAATATCAAGTTTTGTATAATAAGATTCTAAGATTAGCTGCAATTCACATGAAACTACCAAGTATAAAACCGTAATTTTATAACAAGCGAAGTTTATCTGCGATTCACTGATCCTCGCCTGAAAATGGCTTTTTAGCGATGATTTGGTTTTAATATGGGCTTAGCTTTTTAAAGATATAGAGAAATCACAAGTTTTTGTTTATTTATGTAGAAGACTGCATTAGATGTATTGAACGACATATTTCCTAGAATTTGATCGATAACATTAGCAGGCGTTTACTCATTTTATTTAAGCAGAACACGCAAAAGCAAAAGAAAAATAGTGAGTAAAAAATTCGTGTAAAGAATCTAAAGTGAAGTCTAAAATAAGAATACCATAATTTACACTCGAGATTCAAAAGGTCGTTTTGTTATTTTATCCAGTTGCTCAAGTCTGTCAAGTTCTTCTAGAAGATCTTGATTTGGATTAATCTGCAGGCCTGACAGTGGAAACGATCGTAAAATTTTAGATCGTCAAGTTTTTTCATTCTTCAAAAAGTTTCTAAAAATGCGAAGGCTGTTGTACAAATATCTAATCTACGTGCAAATATATCTAAACAGGACGTCAAACATTTTATGGCTGCAAATTCACTATTAGCTGCTCAATATATTGCTGCATTTGCTTCTAGCGTGGCCGATTCTACTGTTGATCTTTTCATCGTTTTAATTTGGACGGAACCATCAACAGTAAAAATGATAGTCGACACGTTTGAAGCACTTGCGGCTGCAGCTAATTGTGAGCGTGTGGCTATAAAAGTTGATTCAATAAGAAGTCCTAAACATGCTGATCCAGATATTACGAATGAAGATCTTTATCCGTTGTTCATCTTGGATGCGAAACAATGTATATCCACAAATTCTCAACAGGCTCTTGTAATTCATCAACGCAAAAAACGTGTAGCAAACGTATAGCTAGTCTGACGAATATTTGTCATCAGTTGTTTCGTGCTTTTGATAGAATCGTGGCGTCCTTTTGAATTGATTAGATATTTGACCGTAGTAACCATTCGTATTTATATTTTCAAGTGTTTTCCTTTTTTTCTATTTCACCGCCTCTTTTTCTGGTTGTACATAAATAATTTAATACATTTTAAAAGAATTTCTACTGCTCACTTTTTCTCGCGGGATTTCTCCACCGATTCCATATATACGTTTTACGTGTTTATATTTCCATGACCAGATTTTCCTTCTTATTGTGTGATTTAGCCAGATTCTTTTATCCTTTCTATTTTGTTGTTATTTTTAATACATATAGGCTTATAAATTTTTTTATTCCCATAGAATAAAACGTTGAAAAAAGTTCTCTAACTTCATTTGACGAGTTCTCCAAGCACGGTTTATAACATATGTATTGAGCAGTGTACAAGGCAGCTATCGCACCCTTGTAATCACACCAAAACACAGCACAAACAGAAAACAGAAAAAACAGCTAAGCCCAATCACTACTACGAATAAACCAACAAAATCACATAATCTATGCAAATCACTACATACTACCGCAAAACTCAAACATACTTGATCAGGATTGGACAAAATCACAAAAAAAACAAAAGTCCCTATGTGTAAAACGTGGAAAAACAAAAGAAGACCCGAAGCCACTAGTTCATAGGTAATCAACCATGGCGCATCCGATGAGCGTATACACGAGGTTTCAAAAACATCTCCAGAGCGCCTTCAGGAAGGTTTAAGAAAACCTCTTCGTTAAAAAACAGTGTAAAACAAATTTCGACCAGTACTATTGCTCCTAGAGATCGTCTATAGTAGGTTTCTGATTCATCATGCTCAATAATCCCCGTCATACCATTTTCACCCCACCAAGTTGAAAAAATAATTCGATCTACAGCATCCCTCGTAGAGGTCGCTCATAGCCATTTTCTGACTCGCCGTGGCCCATTACCTACACTGTAATATTTTCATGACGGAGGCCCTTACCCTTTACTAGTTATTGCCTTTTGCTGCTTTGCAGACGTCGACGTGGACGCCGACATTCATATCACCCAAGACTTCCAGTCAAGGGAATAACTAATAAAAACTAACCTCGAGAGTCGAAATAGTCTGGCTTTAAACCTGAGAAGATGTCTAATATATGAAACAGGTTTTACAGTTCTTTCCCTTCGATTCCAAGGTAGTGAGTGGATGTAAAACATTATTTTACACCGCAACTTTTAAGTCTAAAATCAAATAAAACAGGCTTAAACTATCTCATGCGGATTTTTTCCAAAAAATAAGTTTGAGACTTTAAGCGTCTCTTGTAACAGTTACGGTACATCACAACAGAAAACATTTTTCAGAAAATTACCGAACAAAGCCCGTAAATTTTGTTCACCGGACAGACGGGTTCCGGACAGCATAATTTACTCACGGCATCGGGCATTCGGGCCAGACAATCCTTTTCATGTTCGGGTTCGACCCTACGGGCTCAGGACAACACAAAAGTTTGTCTCACCGCATTCTACACCACATAATAAGCAAACACTTATTCAATGATATCTTTCTCGCAATGCTGAATATTTAACTTAAAATAATAAGTACTTTGAAAAGCAATCGTTTTATCCGATACAATATTTTCTCATGTTCGGTTTTATAAAGTTACATATAACAAGACTATAAGCTAAGAATGCTTCTTTATTTTTTATTTCTTTTCATTTTACATTAAGTTCTCTATGCAAAAAACTAGGTCGAACTATTTGGAAATAGTTCCATTTTCTTGTATTGTGTCGACCAGGTTATTTAGGAAATTTCGAAAACTTATCTGTTGATTTATTGATTTGTGTTGAAATTTAAACGACCTACATGTCTCTTCCAAGATGATAGTAATGCTGTTATTATCGATTTGCAGT